GTCATGGTGATCGCGCCCCCGGTATGCGCGGAATGCGAGGAATGCGGCCACTTCCGGCCGCACCTTCCACGTCACACCGGAATGCGAGGAATGCGGCCACTTCCGGCCGCACCCTCCCGGCCACCCCCGTCACACTGTGAATACACCAATGGCTGCGTTGATAAACGCTTTTCTAAATTAAGAAAACGACGTTTTGCGATTTCCCTTGAATCTCCTAACTGCTGTAATTTTTCATCAATTGTAGGTAATTTGACTATGAAACGACCTTCGGTGTCACGACGAACATTTTGATTAAAATGCGATTCACAAATTTGTTCATTGGGATTATAATGAGACATTTTGTTGGAAGAAGTATCGTGCTCAACTTCCCAAAACTTCACAATAGCCTCGTTTAGCCTATTGATTGCACTAAGATGACACACTGCCTCTATTTTCTTATCTGAAGATCCATCAGTCTTGCCGGAAATCACCCATCCTACCTTAGTTTTTTGTAGAGTAGGATGCGCCTTGCAGGCCCTAATTTGTCCTACGCAAATGAGCTTCCAGAATAATTGAGCTCCTATGAGTATGTCAATTTCGCTTGGGATATTGAAATTGGGATCTGCGAGTACTATATTCGATGGAATTGTAAATTCTGATATTGAACAAAATTCCTGCGGCAACTTCTGGGTAATCTTAGGCAGAACTATACATTCGATGCTGTCGACATATGCGTTTGTTCGCGATCGGAAACTAACATCAACTATCCCCTTTGTTTCAATTGTTCCCTTTGCCACACCTGAAATAGACATGTGTAATTCACGACTATTAAGATGCAATCGATTTGCGAAATCTTCAGTAATGAAGTTTAATTGAGAACCACTATCAAGTAAAACTCTGCAACCATGTAACTCTCCCTTACGATCATATACGCTGACTATGGCGGTTGAGAGAAAAACCTTGGAAGCATCATTAATCTGAGTGCATTGTGTTACTATGGGAGACGCGGTATTTGTTGAAGATGCCCCTGTTACGCTGCAAGAAGAATTACTAGTGTTCGAAGGCATGCCTGTTTTTACCCCTTCATCTTTCGAGGTTTCAAAATGCAATAGTGTGTTATGTGGCTTTCCACATTTACGACAAGTACTAGCTGTGCAGTTTTTAGCTTGATGCCCTCCCGACCTTAGACAATTGATACAAAAGTGAGCATTTTTTGCGATCTCAAAACGTTTTTCACCCGGGAGTTTACGAAATGATTCACACTGGAATATAAAATGCTTACTCTTGCAATGGATACATGATAGATTTGAGGTAGTTACGTGCGCGCTAGGGTTCTTGGCCTTCTGTGAATTGTGCACATCCGAACTTGTACGTCCACTTGATTTGCCGGAAATGATTTCCAGAGCTTGACAACGTTTTGATAGGAAATCGGTCAATTGTTTGAATGTAGGTATAGTCGAATCTGCGCGACTTGTTTCCCATTCCTTCACTGTAACAGAATCGAGTTTGGTTAATACTAAGTGTATCATTATATCATCCCAAGTATCCACGGGTCTCTGTAATGCCTTGAGTGCCCTAAAATGTTTAAGTACATTATCGATTAAACTACGCAACGCTGTACAATTCTCTTTGTTTATAGGTGGAATTTCGAATATTGCCTTAATGTGAGTTTGAACCATACGCCTCTTGTTATCGAATCGCTCATTCAGCAATTGCCATGCTTCTGTGTAATTATCTGTCGTTATGTCAAAGGATCGTACCACCTCCGCAGCTTTATCCTTCAGTGATGATCTTAGGTAGTGGAATTTTTGAATAGACGATAAATTTGCATTAGAATGAATAAGTTTTTCAAAAGAATCATGAAATGTATACCACTCTTCATATGATCCGGAAAAAATGGGTAATTGAATTTTTGGTAATCGGATATGCGCTGACTCTGAATTATTTTGATGTGCTGTCTGAGTATCAATACTGGTCTGAGATGCTACGCGTGTTTGTTCAATCGAGTTAATACGCTGATCGTATATCGACATAAGCTGAAAGTATGCTTCCTCGAATCGTGAACGATCCTCTGCATGAGTCGCCGTTATAGCTTCGTTAGCATCAGAGTTTAAACATTCGATTCGCGCTTGAACTTCATCGTATTGCACAAATAAAGTCGCTAGTTTTTTTCTACGTTCAACCAAGTCAAATTCCGTAGCACGTTGTGCTTGTGCAGATTCTATATATGTTTTAAGTCGCGTAGTCGCAGCCTTTATGGTTGTTCGCCTTGTTTTAGCTTCGTTTTCGGTTAGATCCATTTCGATGTCTTATGTTACGCAACGACCAATGTTGAAATTTATACCAAACATGCGCTTGATGACAAATAACTACTAATGTCTTGATAAATACGATATTTGAATTTTCGAAGTGAGGATAGATTAGTGCGATGTTACGCTGTTTGTTGTGCTGGTTTCCAACTCTGCAATGTATCACGGTGCTGTTCGTCAAACTGCGATGCGCCGTTCAGCAATTCTGCGATGTATTACGGTGCAGTTCGCCCAGTCCGCGATGCGCCGTTCCCAAGTCTGCGATGGCAATATGGCTGCCGTACGCAGGTCTGCGTTGTATTACGGTACGGTTCGCCCAATCTGCGATGCGCCGTATCCAAGTCTGCGATGGCAATGTGGCTGCCGTACGCAGTTCTGCGTTGTATTACGGTGCGGTTCGCCCAATCTGCGATGCGCCGTATCCAAGTCTGCGATGGCAATGTGGCTGCCGTACGCAGGTCTGCGTTGTATTACGGTGCGGTTCGCCCAGTCCGCGATGCGCCGTTCACCAATTCTGCGATGGCAATGTGGCTGCCGTACGCAATGTCACCTTCCCTTGTAGTGTCGTCTATCCCACCGGGTTATGCCCAAGAAGGAAGTATCCGACGTATAGAGTACTGCTGAGTGCGCTGTTGTATCAACAACGTTTGCTCACGTATTCGGTTGTATCACTCGAACTTACGTTTCAATATGCCTTGTGGCCATGGCCATGCATACGATGTATGAGAGATCGTTTTCGCGGCAGCTTTCCATCATATCCGGCTCGAAGGACCAATGTTTATAGTACCCGCACTAATGTGGTTTTGTGCGTATACTTATGCGCCTGTGTCGCTTGCGTATGTGAACGCTACTTCTTTCTTTGTAATAATTGTGACCGTTTGAATCTGTTAAACCTGTGCAGCGGATAGCCGCGGGAATTCTAGGGTCCGGCGGTGGGTGTCTCGAAAAGAGAGAGAGAGAGAGAGTCGGTTTTAGATCTTAACTACCGAATTATATTTTAAAACTTAGGATTACATTAACTGCTTACAACTAACTTATTGCTAACTTATAACTACCCTTATAACTACGGCCGTTCTGACGGCGGTTCGCTATTTTATAATCTGGCGCTGGGGCGCTTTGAGATCTGTGCGCGCGACGGCGATCGATTGGTCGATAGGTCGGCGGCGGCGCGGTATTGGCGGCTCGGTTCGGTGCGTTCGTACGCGGTTCGGTCTGCTCGGACTCGGCGCGGCGCGGCGGTTCGGCGCGGACGGCGCAGGCGCGGTCTGCTCGGTGTCGGCGCGGTATACGGTCTGCTCGCGGATGACAGCTCGTCGCA